AAAATGCCTACCACCTAGAAGGGAGATGGACCATAAGATCGAGCTAGAGCTGGGAGCCAAACCACCCGCCAAAGCTCCATACCGGATGTCGCCACCAGAATTAGACGAGTTGCGGAGACAACTCAAAGACTCTTAGAGGCTGGATTCATCAAGCCTTCGAAAGCACCATACGGAGCTCTGGTTCTCTTTCAAAAGAAGCATGATGGGTCACTTCGCCTTTGCATCGACTATCGGGCACTCAATAAGGTAACCATCAAAAACAAGTATCCCATTCCACTAATTGCCGATTTGTTTGATCAACTTGAACAGGCCAAGTACTTTTCTAAGCTTGATTTGAGATCAAGGTATTACCAAGTGCGGATTGCGGAAGGGGATGAGCCGAAGATCGCATGTGTGATGCGTTACGGAGCCTTCGAGTTCAAAGTCATGCCATTCGGCCTCACCAATGCCCCTGCTACTTTTTGTACCCTCATGAACCACATCTTCCACCCATATCTTGATCAGTTCGTGGTGGTTTATCTCGACGACATTGTGGTGTACGCAATACTCTTGAGGAGCATGCCGAGCACCTGCAGACAATTTTTCGAGTGTTGCAAGAAAATAAGCTATATGTCAAGCGGGAGAAGTGTTCATTTGCCAAGCCGAAAATAGAGTTTCTCAGCCACAAGATCATGGATGGGAAGCTCATCATGGACAAAGCCAAGGCGAAGGCTATTGCAGAGTGGGAAGCTCCAACAAAGGTTACCGAGTTATGCTCTTTCTTGGGCCTCGTCAACTATTATCGGAGATTCATCAAAGGCTATTCCACCATTGCCGTACCACTCACGGATTTTCTTAAGAAGGCCATAAAATGGGAGTGGACGGTTGATCGCCAACAGGCCTTTTACACTTTGAAAAGGGCCATCATGGAGGAGTCGGTGTTAGCATTGCCCAACCATGCCCGACCATTTAAGGTATATACTGACACATCCGATTTTGCTATTGGAGGTGTGTTAATGCAAGAGGAACATTCCATAGCCTTTGAGAGCCGGAAGCTCAATGATACGGAGCAGCGATACACGGTGCAAGAGAAAGAGATGACAGCCGTGGTGCATTGTCTACGCACTTGGCGGCATTACTTACTTGGGTCCAAATTCTTAGTGAAGACGGACAATGTGGCAACAAGTTATTTCTAGAGTTAGAAGAAACTCAGCCCCAAGCAAGCTAGATGGCAAGATTTCTTGGCCGAGTTCGACTATGTGTTAGAGTACAAACCCGGAAAAGCCAACTTAGTAGCGGATGCATTGAGTCGAAAGGCTGAGTTTGCAGCCATAAGCAAGATACAAGGGGATCTTCTCAAGCTTATAAGGGAGGGTCTCGATCATGACGCATTGGCCAAGCAACTCATTTCCTTAGCTCGAGATGGCAAGACTAAGCGCTTTTGGGTAGAAGATGGTCTCCTGTACACCAAAAGGAGAAGGGTGTATCTTCCGAAGTGGGGAAATTTGCGGAGGAACTTGATCAATGAGTGTCACGACACCAAATGGGCCAGACATCCCGGACAAAGGTGCACCCAAGCACTATTAGAAGCAGCCTACTATTGGCCACAAATGCGGGACGATGTGGAACAGTTTGTGAGAAATTATCTTATGTGTCAACAAGATAAGGTCGAGCACCAAAGCCCTGCTGGATTATTGGAACCGTTGCCCACACCGAGTCGACCATGGGAGAGCATCTCAATGGATTTCATAGTGTGCTTACCAAAATCTGAGAGGTTTACTACCATTATTGTTATGGTGGACAGGTTATCAAAGTATGCTACCTTCATCCCTGCACCAAAGGAATGTACAACGGAAGACACAGCCAAGCTTTTTTTCAAGCATGTGGTGAAGTATTGGGGTCTTTTGAAGTCTATCATCAGTGATCAGGATAGTCGGTTCACAGGGAGATTTTGGACTGAGTTGTTCAAACTTATGGGGTCGGCATTACACTTTTCCACAAGTTTTCACCCTCAAACCGATGGGCAGACAGAGAGAGTGAATGTTTTGCTAGAGATTTATCTACGGCACTTTGTGAGCGCCAACCAACTTAATTGGGCAAAGTTGATCGATGTAGCCCAATTTTCATACAACTTGCAGAGGAGTGAAGCCACCAACAAGAGCCCATTTGAAATGGTGATGGGCCAACAGCCGCTTATGCCACACACCTTGGGTACAAGTTATAAGGGGAGCAGCCCCGCGGCATTCAAAGTTGCTAAGTCATGGCACGAGCAAGCCGACATCACACGGGCATACCTTGACAAAGCAACCAAGAAAATGAAGAAGTGGGCGGATAAGAAATGCAGGCATGTGGAATACAATGTGGGAGATCTAGTACTTGTCAAAATCCTCCCATCACAACACAAGTCCACCCGGCCGCTACACAAAGTCCTTGTCCGAAGATATGAAGGGCCATTTCCCATAATCAAGAGGGTTGGTAATGTATCGTACAAGCTTGAGTTACCCTCTTGGTTGAGACTTCATCCGGTCTTCCATGTGAGTTGTTTGAAGCCATACCATGAAGACGCGAAAGATCCGGAAAAGGGAGAATCAAAACGAGCCCCATTTGGCAACACCAAGTTCTATGACAAAGAGGTGGAGTGTGTGTTAGCCGATCGGGTTATTCGACAAAAGGGCCACTCTCCAAGTCGAGAATACTTTGTCAAATGGAAGGGGCTACCAGAGAGTGAAGCTAGTTGGGAACCAGCCCGAAGATGCATTGTGGCAATTCAAAGACAAGGTCCAAGAATTCCACGAAGAGTCGATGAGGACATCTCCGGATTAGGTGGGGGAGAATGTGACGCCTCTTAAGCATTTCATCGAACATTTGGTGTGCGTCACCTGGAAAATCTAGAAGCTTCCGGAATACTCTTGTATATGCTAGAATATTGTAATTAATGTGGTAGTTGGTAGATAGTAGTTGGTAGATAGTAGTTGGTAGGTGGTAGTTTGGAGTTAGTTAATCTTCACCGTTGATTTCAGGAAATCTAGACTGTCTATTGTAAACTCCAACTACTATAAAAAGGGGAGGCCTTCATTTGGCCAAACCATCCAAGAATTGTAAAGTTCTCTCAATTAGTAAAGAGTTCTCTTCTAGCATCTCTTGTGACTTTGTGTGAGTGTTTTCTTACTTGCAGGGCTAGGAGCATGAGCAAGCAAGGCTGACTTAGGGCAATCGTCGGGAGATTAGCACCTAAGGCCGAACGAGTTCGAAGGGAAGCAATCGGGTCGTTACATTTGGTATCCTGATTAGGTGGGGGAGAATGTGACGCCTCTCAAGCATTTCATCGAACACTTGGTGTGCGTCACCTAGACAATCTAGAAGCTTCCGGAATACTCTTATATATGCTAGAATATTGTAATTAATGTGGTAGTTGGTAGATAGTAGTTGGTAGGTGGTAGTTTGGAGTTAGCTAATCTCCACCGTTGATTTCAGGAGATCTAGACCGTCCATTGTAAACTCCAACTACTATAAAAGAGGGAGACCTTCATTTGGCCAAACCATCCAAGAATTGTAAAGTTCTCTCAATTAGTAAAGAGTTCTCTTCTAGCATCTCTTGTGAGTTTGTGTGAGTGCTTTCTTACTTGCAGGGTTAGAAGCGTGAGCAAGCAAGGCTGACTTAGGGCAATCGTTGGGAGATTAGCACCTAAGGCCGAACGAGTCTGAAGGGAAGCAATCGGGTTGTTACATTTGGTATCACGCCCGTTGATAACGGCTGTTCATCCAAGCCACACGAGCCCAAACAACACCAGCAAGCTGAATGAGCAGGTAATGACCACATTGACCCAAACTTCAATAGACAACAGAAAAGCCCAACAAACTACACTGCAAAGGCCCAGGGTAACTTTAAAACGCTAAAACAGCCATCCCATGCAAACTTTAGTTCGCCCAAATGAAGAAACATCCATATGTAGTTAACTAATTAATGAATTGATTAATTTTTAAGAAACAACAATGGTAAACAACAAGCTACTAATTAAATTTATTTTGTGAAATACACATGAAATTAGAACATTGTCTATGGTAACTGCCTTTGGGTGGCCAAGTGGTTCGATAGGGGTTCTTGGATATATTACTCAAGATTTTGAGTTTGAGTCTCTCTTCCATTGCTAATAGGAGTAGTCACTAGAGCTTTTATCTAGTCGATAGTTTCAAGATTTCGGAAGATTAGTTGAGGTACGTGTAAGTTAGCTTGAACATCCCTAATCATTAAAAAAAAAAAAAAAAATTAGAACGTTGCCCATGTTATAAAAATGCATTAAAAGGAACAACTTAAAAAAGATAGGAGTTGTTAAGTTTGCCATCCCATCTAAAAACTTAAATTAGAAGGTGGGGATTCAACATTGTATTAGTCCAAGTCAACTCAAAGTCTCCCCAAGTCAAGTCGCTCAAAATAGTGAGCTTTTCAAAAGCCAAATATAAACGTGCACCGGATACTAACACGCAACAAGTTGTGGTGTATGGTCACTTTTAGTGTTCTTTTGTTCTTTTTTTTTTTTTTTTTTTTTTTCTATTTTTTCCACGATTGTATCTTTAACTATCATATCGATATTTAACTCTTCATCTCTCATAAAACAAAATGGTTGCATAGTTTATAGGGATTAATCATTTCTTAATATACATGAACCAATTAAAGGCATTTTCTCATTTCTTATCTCTAGACTTTTTTAATACGATTTCTTACTGCGTATTCCCGTCAACACGATGGTTGAGAATAGTACTATTGAATTTACCAAGTCAAAATGAAAAGTTAGGTGTTGTAGTCATGATAAATCCCTTAAATTTTCACATGTTCCTACTTGGAGCACAATAAAGCAGGACATAAATTTCCATCAAATTTAATCTCATTCAAGAACTTGATAGATATTTCTAAGTGGCTAGAGTTTAATTTACGCGACTTGACTTGGGAGACTTTTGAATACACCGTAAATTTAAATATGCCGTCGGGCTTATTTTCCACTTCATCTCAGGATTCTCATACTATAAGCAAATTCAATTCTTCAAAATATGAGGATCAAATTTCATATTCTTCTCATGAAATCTCTCTTATTCTTTCTGTTATGTTCGTCTTTTACAGTTACAGCTCAACAAAAACAGTCTCATATAAACCCGGGATCTTTCCTTTCACCCACCGGAAACTTCTCATGGCTTTCAGCTTCCGGTCTCTTCGCCTTCGGATTTTATCCGCAAGGCAATGGCTACGCTGTTGGCGTTTTCATTTCTGGAGTTCCCCAGAAAACTGTTGTCTGGACAGCCAATAGAGATAACCCACCAGTTCCAAGAAATTCTATCTTGCTGTTCAATACTGCAGGCAGGCTCGTCCTACAAGCAACTCCAGGCCAAGATATTAATATAGCTGAAGCTTCCGGAGTGGTCTCTTCCGCTTCAGTTCTTGATTCTGGCAACTTTGTGCTTTACAATTCTGATCAAGAAATTATGTGGCAGAGTTTCGATCACCCAACAGATACAATTTTGCCAACCCAACGTCTCCCGGAAAATCGGGGAATGTTTTCAAGCGTTTCGGAAACCGACCATTCAACGGGGATATTCCGGCTCAAGATAATGCCACAAGACGGAAATCTAGTGCAGTTCCCAAAGGATGGTGCCGACGCAACTGAATATAATTATTGGCAATCTAATACATCTGGAACGGGCGGAAATGTTTCACTGAATCTTGGTGTTGATGGCCATCTTTACCTGCTTAATAACACTGGCTTCAACATAAAGAATATTACTGAAGGAGGGTATCAAAAGGAAGGAATGATCTATTTCATGAGACTAGATTATGATGGGATTATCCGATTATATTCACGCAATTTGACTAAAAAAAGTTCCAAATCAGTTTTGTGGGAATCTTTGCAAGATAAGTGTATCCCGATGGGTCTGTGTGGGTATAATAGCTTTTGTGTTTTAAATGACGAGAGCCCTGAGTGCAGATGTCTTCCAGGATTTGTTCCTGTTAACCCAGGTAATAGAACTGCTGGCTGTGAGAGAAATTTCAGATCAGAAAGTTGCATCAACAGGTCTGGAACAGTCAGATCATCCATTAAACAAGTGGAAAATACTGTCTGGGAAGATTCTTCATATTCAGATCTGTCACAAACAACGAAAGAAGACTGCGAACAAGCATGTTTGTCGGATGGAAATTGTGAAGTTGCACTATTCAGTAATAGCCAATGCAGCCTGCAAAGGCTTCCTTTGAGATTTGGGAGAAGAGATCTCAACACTGATTCAAAGAATATTGCTTTCGTCAAGTTACATACCACACCCTCTTCAGATTGTATTGACCACAAAGAAGGTGAGAAAGAGCTCCGAAGTGACATCATAACCAAGATTATTATTTCATTTGTTGCTTTTATACTTGTTATTTTGGCAATTTTCGGAATTGTCATTTACAGATACCATTCGTGGTCATATAAAAGAATTCCTGGCAATGGAAACACCAAATATTGTGAAGGTATTGCTCCCCTGTCATTTAGCTATGCAGATATTGAAAAAATGACTGATTGTTTCAAAGAGGAGGTTGGTAGGGGATCTTCAGGAAGAGTCTATAAAGGGACTATGGCGAATGATCAGAAGTTTGTAGCTGTCAAGAGATTGGAGAAGGTTTTATCTGATGAGGAAAAAGAGTTCTTGACCGAGATAAAAGTAATTGGAAGGACTTATCATAGAAACCTTGTTCGTCTTATAGGCTATTCCTCTAATGGAACCAACAAGGTCTTGGTATATGAGTACATGGCAAATGGATCTCTAGCTGATATACTTTTCACACCTAAAAAACAACCTAACTGGATTGAAAGACTAGGTATTGCTCGTGAAATTGCTACAGGTATTTTGTATCTTCATGATGAGTGTGAGGCTCAAATCATCCATTGTGACGTAAAACCTCAAAATATTCTCATGGATGAGAATGGGTGTGCAAAAATTTCTGATTTCGGATTGGCAAAGTTACTAAAACCAGACCAAACTAACACCTTTACTGGAATTAGAGGAACAAGAGGATACGTCGCACCAGAATGGCATAGAAATATGCCCATTACAGTCAAAGCAGATGTTTACAGCTTTGGAGTGGTGTTGCTAGAGATCATTTGTCGACAAAGAAGCATGGACCAGAATCTTCCAGAGGATCAAGTTATTCTTGAAGATTGGGTTTACCAATGTTTTGAGACGGGTAAGTTGAGTCAATTAGTAGAAGATGAACAAGTGGAGCTAAAACAATTGGAGAGAATGATTAAAGTTGCCCTTTGGTGTATTCTTGATGAACCATCACTGCGCCCATCAATGAAGAAAGTTTTGCTTATGCTGGAAGGGACTGTTGACATTCCAATTCCTCCAAATCCTACTTCGTATCTTAGTTGCATCTAGGTTACCTGCGTTTGTTTTAATTTGTCTGTGTTTTTAGCCCCTTTAAGTATCATTTTACATACAGGAAGTAAAATATAAACCAGTGTTGCAATGTGCTCTGTAATTTTTCAGTTGCTGCAGTGTAGTGTTTTAGAATCTGTTCTTACATATCCCCTATTATATGCAGAACATTTTTAGATTTTTAAAAATTTCCAGCAACACTTTCACTCTCTGCGTGATCCTGACCTAAAATTACTGTCAACATTGCTAAAGCTTTTACTTCTTTCTTACGTGTATATTTATGTTATGTAAAACTATGCATCTATAGTCAGCTTTCTTTTATGTAATAGTAATGTAGTAACACTTTCTTTTGATGCAAGCTATTTGGTAGAGTATGCTGAGCAGATAAATGCAATAAAAAAATTTAAAAAGAAAAATATAAATGCAATAAGGAAATAAAAAAAAAAAAAATTATAGGAATTATCATGTGCATAAATCCCTTTTTTTTTTTAAAAAAAAAATCAGACTTCATTAAGACGGCAATAATAAACACTAAATGACCCATTTTCACAGTTTTTTATGCAAAAATTTCTGTTTTAATTTTTTTACCATCCCAAGATAATTTACGAAGAAAGCTAGAACTTAAAAGAACCAAACTAGGTAATTATAAGAAATACATTTTAAAAACACAATCAATTTCAGCTTTAACACAACGTTCTATGGTTAGATTTGATATAATTGCATCAAGACTGTACATATTTACCGTTAGCTCTTTATATATATAATATAATTTCAATTCAGTGAGTGAATCAAACAGTATTGAAGTATGTGCTGATATAATTTTATCAAAATGATCACACATATATATAAAGAAATAAAGACTATTGAGAAGAGAAAGATTTTATTAATCTTTTCACATAATAAAAACAGTAAAAGTGTTGCCTTTTTATACGACTTCGTTTACTAAGCCTAACTAACTGCAGTTACAAAAACTAACTCTAGTTAGTCTTTGACTTTGTAAACAATTCATCATTTAACATCCTCCCTCAAGCTAGACAAAACCTTGTCATAGCTTGCTTAACAAAGTAAAACAGAACCGATGCAGTAGAATCCTGTAGAACAGAAGCTTCATTCAGAACACAGCTTCCAAAGAGCAGATGCAACAGCAGAACGAAATCCTGAAAATGCCACACCAAACAACAACGCAAAATTGCACACATCTTCCAGAAAAATACAGCTGTACCAGTCCAGAAAACTGTAGTAGTGCAAAACAACAACACCAGAAAACTGCAGCAATGCAAACCAACAACATCCAGAAACGTGTAGTAGTGCAAACCATCAGAATTATTGAAAAAAAAAAAAAAAACAGATAGGTAGCAACGAAACTTCATAGCAATGCAACTTCAACTAGTCATCATCCTCCCTCAAGCGAAACAAAGGAGAAGCCTTGATGAGCTTGTCACGAAAAAGACCAAATTGAGTAATAGGTAGAGGTTTAGTAAAAATATCAGCAAGTTGATGAGTAGAAGAAATATACTGAATTGCTAAGGCTTTTGAGGCAATCTTGTTGCGAATAAAATGAAGAACAATCTCAATATGTTTGGTGCGAGCATGTTGAACGGGATTAGAAGCAAGAGAGGCAGCGCTTATATTATCACACCAGAGAACTGGTGTGGAATGCATTAATGAAACGCCAAGCTCCTGAAACAACTGTTGCAGCCAAATAACTTTAGTAGCTGCTTGAGCAAGAGAGTGATATTCAGATTCAGCAGAGGACCGAGTAACAACATGTTGCTTTTTAGAGCTCCATTGAACTAGATTACCACCAAGGTAAATACAATAACCGCTAGTGGAGCGACGATCATCAAGGTTACTAGCCCAATCGGCATCAGAATAACCTTCAATCATAAGAGGAATAGCAGCCTGGAGATGTAAGCCAAAGTGAAGAGAACCTTTAAGATAACAAAGTAGACGTTTACAAGCTTGCCAGTGCTGAACCGTAGGTGCCTGCAAATACTGGTTTAACTTGTTGATAGTTAAGGCAATATCGGGCCTAGTAATGGTGAGGTACTGAAGAGAACCAATGGTGCTACGATACAAAGAAGGCTCACTAAATAACTCACTGTCATGCAAAGCCAGCTTACAATGAGAGACCATGGGCGCAGGACAAGCATGAGCTTTAGAGAGATTAGTTTTGCAAACTAAATCTTTAATATATTTGGCTTGAGTCAGATAAAGGCCTGACTCATCACGGTAAGCCTCAATACCCAAAAAATAACTCAGAGAACCAAGAGTTTTAAGCGAAAACTTACCATTCAAATCTGAGATAAGCTGAGGATCATCACCGGTGACCAAGATATCATCCACGTAGATCAACAGATAGATAACATGAGTAGAATCTGAGAAATAAAACAGACTGGTGTCAGAGACTGCATTCCGAAAACCCCATTCGAGTAAGGAAAATTTGAGTTTATCAAACCAGGCACGAGGGGCCTGTTTCAAGCCATGTAATGCCTTGGATAATTTGCAAACATAACCAGGATGATTTGGATCAACAAAACCAGCCGGTTGGTGCATATAAACTACTTCTTGCAAATCGCCATTAAGAAAGGCGTTATTAATGTCAAGTTGTTGAATATCCCAGTGATGAGTGACAGCCAAGGTGAGAATCACACGCACAGTAATAGGTTTCACAACAGGGCCAAAAATTAGCAAAATCAAGACCAGGTTGCTGTTGAAATCCTTTTGCAACAAGATGAGCCTTACACCTTTGAACTGAGCCATTGGCATTGTATTTAAATTTGAACACCCATTTATTTGAAACAACATGCATATCAAGAGAACGTGGAACTAAAATCCAAGTCTAATTACTCTGAAGTGCATCAAATTCAGCTTTCATAGCAACAAACTAGTGAGGAGAAGCAAGAGCTTCAGCAATTGAAAATGGCTCATGAGGATTGATACAAGTTGCAGCAAATAAGGCTGCCGTAGAAAAGGGACAGCGAGTTGTTTGTGATCTCGTTTTCATGGCATGAAGTCTTTGAACAGCAGGAGGAGGAATATTTAATTCAACGTAAAAAGGGACTTCTAAAGGAGGAGAGATTCGTGGGGGCAAATTATGTGAAGTTGGTGTAGTAGATGAAACCAAAGGAGACTCATTTGGTGATGCATGTGAGAGAGTAGGTGTAACGGAGAAAGGTGAAGGTACAAGACTCTTTGTGGGTGACGTATGAGAAGAAGTAGAAATAGTAAGTGTAGGGGGCTTTGTATATAGAAAAGAAGTGATAATAGGCCAAAAAGAGACAGGTTTAGGACATGTCTCAGCAGAAAAAGAATCTGCGTTAAATTGAGGATTGGGATTAGGAAGAGAGTCAGAAAAAGGAAAATAATGTTCATTAAAGGAAACACTCTTGACAATATAGACTTTGCCAGAGGAGTGAAGACACTTATATCCCCTATGAAAGGGACTATAACCAATAAAAACACAGTAAGAAGTATGAAAATCAAACTTATGACGATTGTATGGGCGAAGGTAAGGGTAGCAAGCACACCCAAATACTTTTAAAAAAGAGTAGTTTGGTTTTTGATGAAACAGAACTTCAAAAGGAGACATGTGATTTAGAGTAATAGTAGGCAGACGGTTGATCAAGAAAACTAAAGTCTGAAAAGCATTCCACCGGTATTTGAGTGGCATAGAAGCTTGAGCCAACAAAGTCAAGCCAATTTCAACCAAGTGCCGATGCTTTCTCTCTGCCTTGCCATTCTGTTGATGTGTATATGGACAGGACAACCGAAAAAGGATGCCATTTGTTTTAAGTAAGGGAAAATAGCTTGAAACTCACCACTAGAATCTGTTTGCAAACACTTCAAGGATGTACCAAATTGACATTCAGCCATGACATGGAATTCCATAAAAGCCAATTTTGTCTCAGACTTAGCCTTTAGAGGATAGATCCAAGTAAAATTACTATAATCATCCATAAAATGAACATAGTATTTATATGCTTCAACAAAGGCAATAGGGGCTGGTCCCCAAACATCCGAATGTACAAGTTCTAAAGGTTGCAAACTCTTGCGAATTGAGCTTGGAAAATTAGTTTGACATTGTTTACCAAAACGACAAGAGGCACAAAATGAAGTAGATATAGTAACTGGTTTATCAAACTGAGATACAACTTTATGAAGAGCAGCCAAATGAGGATGGCCCAATCTTTGATGCCACAAATCACCAAGCTTATTACTATGAAACTGTGAGAGAGATACACAAGTAGTAGCAATAGTATCATCATTATTAGAAGTAGACGAATTCCATGTATTATTAGGAGAATAAGGCGGATAGACAAGATGAATTGCAGGATGAAGCAGCGAAGTAGTTGAAGTAGAAGCCTGTGTCAACAACGGTGGAGTTGAGAGGAGAGCTTGATGAGACAAGATTCCCAAAGGATCCAGAAAATACAATCCATCTTTAAGGTATCCTTGCAGAAGAATTGCTTGGGTTGTCTTGTGCTTAATAAGACAATAACCAAATGAGAATTCAACCATAACAGGATTATCTTGAACAAGACGAGAAATACTGATGAGATTCTTAGTAATCTTGGGAACAATCAATACTCTTCGTAAAATTAAGGCAGAACCAAAGTAAGTGCAAGATAAAGAACCTGAACCAATACCAACAATATCAAGTAAATTACCATTACCTACAACCAACTTTTTAGATCCTGTGTAAGTGCCATGATCTGAAAGTTGTTGCACATTAGAGGTAATATGATCAGAGGTACCACTATCTAAGTACCAGGAATTATCAGCAACAGTAGCTGTTGTAGCATGAAAAGCAATAGAGGTATTAGGCAGTTGGTGACATGATAAAGAGGGTGGTTGATAAGACTATGGTGCTGGCTAATAAGTGTGGGAATACTGTAAAGAATTGTGATGATAAGGTTTTTGATACGGTTGGTAAGTTGGATACACTGGTGGTGATGCAGACGAAAAGCGAATAGCCATTGAGGGAGCAACAAAGGCCTAAGGACCATTTCGTGGAGCAATAGAAAAAGATGATTGAAATGACGGTGGTGGCAAATTAGGCTGAACAGGTTGTGGACCTTGGAAACTTATGTCAAACTAATGATAACACTGCATTACAACATGTCCAATTTTACCACATAGCTGGCAAATAGGTTTGCCACGACCAGAACCATTTTTACCTCGACCTCTCCCATTATTAGATACAGCTTGATTAGGATTTTGAGGAGCAAATTGTTGCGAAAATCCATTAGAAGA